AGCAATGAGATTTAACTAATCTTCAAATGACGACATGCCACACTGATCTCAGACTTTTCAAGAAGGAAGGCCTGGTGTCTGTTACTCTGAACATGTTACATGAAGGAGTGATTTATTGTCTGCAGTTGGTGGTGTGTTCTGGGAAGTTGTGTGAGATTCAGATGAAATGGAGTATGAAAAATAACACGTTGATTTATTAAGACTATTTGATTTGACAGCAGGTGTTCTACACTGTTTGACATTTTGCTAAGTACACTGTTAGAAGCAGTGGTGTAGTGGTGCCTGAAGAAGAGGGTATACTCTTCATTTTCCCCCAAATGTTTTTCTTTTAAGCAACCTGTGCAGCCTCTGTTATAAACTTTGACATGTCTTGCATAGTCAGTGTGTACTAACCAATCAGAGACAGAGTAGAGAGGGTCGTCTTTTCACCATCCTAGGAAATAAAATGGAGCATCCTACTGAATATTGTCAATCAATCAATGGTGTGAATCAGAGGAGATTTAGAAGACTGTTGTACTCTGCACTACACCACAGGTTAGAAGTTAGTGCAGAGAATCTGGCATTGTTTGTACTTTATCATTGGTGTGAATCATGGTCTAACACTGGATTTTTCCTTGGAATATTTCCATCATGCTGCCTTTTTCTTTTGGAAACTGAACTATTGAGATCCTGTTGCACTCCAGAAAGTCTTACAACCAGGCGGATGAAATCACAACGTGAACTTTATGTCATTAGAATTTGTGTGTAGGCTGTTTTTTTTTCTCCAGCGATGATTGACCAGTCTAGTGTCTCACCGCCCTTAGTTACTGTTGCTAGGTTATGGTATCCATTGCGCACTATTCATACCAAACGTCACACATGCATTTCTGTATATGTGAGAAAAATGTTTACATTTACACAATGTTTAAGTATTAAACTGGTCACCCTGAACCGCCCCACAATGCACTGCGGCTCTCAGACTGTCCAATCACGGAGCTCAACAGTTCCATATTGAAATACATTTTACATATTGCCAAATAATATTAAAATGACTACGTAGCTGATTTAGTAATGAAAGTTTGCTTATTGTTGTTGAATTATATTGATGGACCGGTCATGCTAGCTTGATGCTAGCTCATCGAACAGAGCTCGGATTAGATGAACGTTTCATGACCCGTATTTCATTATGTTGGTAATGGCATGCTAATGGTCGGTATGCAGTACATTTTAAAGATACAATATCTAGATTCCACCACCAGGGGGCTCTCAATCATTAATACAATAACAAAAGATGACGTCGAGGCTAGTGGGGAATCATGGGAGTTGTCTCGGCTACTTCCCCCGCTCCACTTCTCATTGACCGTAGTCATGACGACCGGGTGAAACCGACCTGAGGAAGAGAATATGTTTACAGACGAGCTAATGTATCAGAGATTAATTTACATAACGTTCCTCATGCAGCGGCCTTTGACATAACATCCGGTGTTTCCATGGCAACGATAAACATTCTGTCTGTCATGGCGGCCGCCTCGACAAGACACGTCCCCTAACAACTATAAAGTTACAGTTTTCTTTGGCTTTGATAATTGTTTGAAATATTTGAGGTTTTGAATGAATCTAGACAGATTGTACGTTTAAGGCTCCACTACTACAATCAGCGATGATAAAATCTGATGAAATTAAAACATGTACGAGAACATGAATTGGTGGGTAGAATCTAAGGAATTTCAAAGGTGTGTTGCTTTCAAAGTTTTGTTCACAGTGTTTCTGAAAATGGGATTTTTGCAGTAACCTTAAATCGACCTGTTCACACAATCTGTGATACGTTCCTCTGAAGGATGATTTGGATGTTGACATTTAAATGATCCCCTCATGTCTTAGAGGCATGACTGAATCAGCGTTCAGTGTCCTTAGTAACGGTCTGAATTCAGTTTTTTCAGTTCACGGCTGAATACACCTTCTGTATGGAACGTATTACTACTAAAAAAAAAAATGTTCTGAAAAGGACGAGACATGAAAAGAGTTTAAAATATAGCCAAAAGTCTTCTCGTTTAATTTTCCAGTCCTCCTGAATAAATCAGCGCGGGTTTAATAGAGAGGAACTTTACTGTCAGGCGGGCGTTTGAGGGGAAAAACGTCCAGTCCTGAATCCCATTCAGTGCAGAGGCAACGACTCGGATGATAAAAAACCTTCTCGGAGGCCGACGGGCCTTTTCATCACTCTGGTAACATAAATGCAATTTTTTTTAGGATGTACTGAAGTTGAGAAGAGCAATTTCCCCTCTGCTGCTCACAAAAAAACCTTCATCTCCCAAAGAATCGGGTGGAGGTTGGTTGGTGGGGGGGGCAGGGGGGGAGAGATTTTTGTGTAGTTCTGGACCAGGTCCAGGCCTTTCCCCCAAGGCCTCATCGATCTGACGCTGGAGTCTGATCTGATGGGGTTTCATTCCATCCCATATTATGTTAAAGTGAAACAACACAAGGATCTTTGTGAGGTGGCTTTGATCATTTTGGAGGTTTTATCTCAAGTGAAGTTGTGGCATGATTCATTCTGTTTGTTTATAAACATACATTATGTATAATATCAGTTATGGTAAATGGAGCTTGTATAACGCCTTTCTAGTCTTCTGACTACTTGAAGGCCAGACAGGTCACACCTACACATTCCCACCCTGATGGTAGAGGCTGTAAAGTGACCATCTGGATTAACCACGTCAATTCATACACCGCCGACAAAGCAGTGGGAGCAACTTGGGTTTAAGCGTCTTGCCCAAAGGACACATCGGACATGTAGCGACCTATAGTTGATAGACAACCGACTCTACCACTGAACCACAGCCACCCCTGAAATTCATGTTATGCTAACTATTTAGCTATTATCGTCAAGCTGCTCGTTTTTATTGAGCAACGCCAATGACGTCATTATCAGCGTCCAGTGAGACTCTGAGTCTGACAGAGTTTTTTTTTATCATTGTGCTGCTGAGTTCTCTACTGTATATATTCTTCTAAAGAGAACGGCCTGAGTAGGGAGTAGTCAGTGATTTCATGATTTGGACACAGCCGTAGGTCTCAGAGCTGCAGAGCACTTCCTGTCCCGAGTGTTTTGGGGTGGATTTGGTGACCGAGTGGAGGAAACACGTGCTCAGGTATGAACGGCGTGCGTAAGAGCCAAACGCTGTCGATAAGACGCCGCTCACATGTGTCAGTTCATCACACCTCACAGCTCTCTACATCTCAGGGTCTATAATTTGCCATGACTGGGCCTTGATTACTATTTACGGTGTTGTCAGAGTGAGCGAGGGGCTCGACTGTGCCGGTAAACACATTCACTGTCACAGCTGCACTGAATCTTTCGACTGTCGGCTGTTGACTTCGTCTGCTCTCCTCTTTCCTGTCGGAGGATTGCACCTGTCAGAGACGTGTGTTGCTTTTGACACGGCCGTGATGGAACAGGAAACTGGATCACAGCGGCTGACAGGCAGTCATGTCGGAGGGTTTTATGAATTTTTATGAAGGAGGGGAAATTATTGTTGGAATGTGTTGACACCATGGATCCTACCAGATAAGACTCTAGTGTTTTTAAAATGATGCATTACTGAATCAATAAAAACACTGAGGCTTCAGTTAATCATTGATTTCATTACAGAGTAATTTTCGAGTCACTTATTTTAATGAATCAAGTTTTTTTTCTTTTAGAAATGTAAATAATTAGAATGGGAATAACTGCCCTGAACCTTTGGTGACCAGTTCCTGTAGTAATCAGGATCGGTCTTGATCTTGAGACCGGGCTCCAGACTGCTTTTTTAAGGTCTTTGTCTTGTCCCGGTTTGGAAACCACTGAGTGTTGTCTCTCAGACTGGGCAGACTCTGGATTTTAAATCAAGACCACTCAAGAGCACCCAGTATAGACTATTCTTTCACATCATTACTGGGATTAGAAGAATTACAATTTATGGTCACGGTCTGGCCCTGCCTTGGTCTTGGTCTTGGTCTTGACTTAGTCTTGGTCTTGATTTGGTCTGGCCCTGCCTTGGTCTTGGTCTTGGTCTTGACTTAGTCTTGGTCTTGATTTGGTCTGGCCTTGACTTAGTCTTGGTCTTGATTTGGTCTGGCCTTGACTTAGTCTTGGTCTTGGTCTTGATTTGGTCTGGCCCTGCCTTGGTCTTGGTCTTGGTCTTGACTTAGTCTTGGTCTTGATTTGGTCTGGCCTTGACTTAGTCTTGGTCTTGATTTGGTCTGGCCTTGACTTAGTCTTGGTCTTGGTCTTGATTTGGTCTGGCCCTGCCTTGGTCTTGGTCTTGATTTGGTCTGGCCTTGACTTAGTCTTGGTCTTGTTTTGGTCAGAGCCCTACAATGCGGTCGGACATGAAAAAAAAATACTTGTTGACGCTTCTACAAAAAGTCAGTGGAAATAAATATTTCAGTTTTTCTCACAGGAAGAAAAATGTAAAAACTCCACTTGTGTTTTTCCTCTGGACAGACTTATTGAAGCCATCAGTCAAACCATGTTGATGATGATTCATACTGTTCTCTATTCATCATTATGCACAAAAGAGTGAAATAAAGTACAATTTACCTCGATACAAAGCCTAAGGTCACATGACTCACACTTCTCTCATTCTCATAAGTCTGTGGCTGAAAACTTAAAAAAACAAAGAACCTCGTTTTCCCATCGATTCACCAAATGTCAATCGATGAAGTCGATCCATGAAATATAAAGTAAAGATGGCCTTACAGGCAGATTTACAACGTGTCAAATACCCTACTGAGTAATGGGGTTAAAGGTTTTTCACAACTCGATCTGCATGACGATCATTGACCTTTCAGTTTTCTTCTTTTTCTCTACACATACAATCGAAGTCGAGTCACATTAAGTCAAAAAACATTTTCACATAAAAAACTGTTTGAATAATCATCACGTCACGTGGCGGCGTGTTGCTTTCAGCCAATAAGACGAGCTGCAACGTCTCGTCTCCGATCAATTAACCTTTCCTCTGTCTCTCTTTTTTGTTTTCCTTCAGGTCCGGTAGCTGTGATCAGTGGCGAGGAGGACTCTGCCAGCCCCCTGCATCACGTCAACCACGGGATCATAACCCCCTGCACGCTGGACGCGGGTCCTGATGCGGTCGTCATAGGGATGACTCGTATTCCCGTGGTGGAGAATCCGCAGTACTTCAGACACGGACACAACTGCAACAAACCAGCAACCCGTAAGTCCCCTGAGAAGGTTGTCTCTCGTTACTCGTTTTTTGAACCCCTCAGTTATGGGAACACAAAGAGACCCCTGACAGGTTGCTGTTCATCTGGTGTTAGCATCTGGCGGCTATGCTCCAGCTTCTTCATGGAGGATCTGTGAGGACAGGAAGCAGCTTTGTGTACAGTATATCAGCTCCTGGTGTTCATACAGCAGCCACCCCCCCCCCCTCCTCTCTAAGGCTCCCTCAGGACTCATGTTCCAGGTTGGGGAGAGACAAGACCACTTTAAGGCCTAATTACTCACAATTACATCAACTAGCTCAAGAGAGTCAGCGGAAAACAACTGCGCCTGCAGCCAGCCGCAGCCTGGCGCCTGCTGCTTCCCCCTTCCAGGCGACACCAGCCGGATTTATTCAGAGGGAAGAACCCCCCCCCCCCCCGTCTGTGTGAGTGGCAGCACATGAGATCTGCTGTGTTTACCTCTTGGCTTGCTCTCAAAATGGCCGCTGGTCCGACATAACGGAAAGTTGATTTTGGGGAGTGTGAGCCAATGAGAAGGCAGGAAATCCCATTTAGAGGTGATAAATAAATAAATGACTGCTCCTCTTGTGAATTATGAATTGCATGAATTTTGAATGACCAGCCGTCGACTGATTTATAGCGGCTCACGCTCTGCACAGGAGATCTGATCGGGGGGGCTAATGAATAAATGACAGCGGGTGAGAATGAAACTTTTTTGCCATGCACCTGGAACATCAGTCCACATGGACGTGCATGATGGTGGATGTTTCGGCGGTCTTTGCAGGATGTTCTCCCTCTCTTATCTGCAGATTTATTTCTTTTTTTTAGATTGAACTCGTGGATGAAAAAAAGGGAAAGTGCAGGAAATTAACCTTGAATTCATCACAAGGTCATAATGGCCGCTGCTTTCCACCGTCGGCTGCGAAAAAAACAAAATGGCTCCGACTCTTCGCTGAATACAAATGTGTTTTTACCCCCCAGGATACACACACACAGAAAAGGAAATATCTGTGTGTGTATGAACAGGCTGTGTGTAGGTGTGTGACAGGGCAGGATGAATCTCACATGTTTGTCGACGCAGGTGTACCCATTTGTAGGTGGGATGAATTCTGCCAGTATTGCACTCCGCCTCCTCTACGCTCTGACAAATGTCTTCAGTCAGGGTTCCCTTGGGGTGCACAGGGGGCTCGTTAGGTCCCCCCCCCCGTTCTCCCGCTGGCCTCGCTCAGGCTTGATTGTCCTGCAGCTTCTCGTGTCGCCTGAAGAGCGTCACCTCGCTCCGATACAGCACGACCGCTTTATTGATGCCCCGGCCACCAATCCATAATGTATTCATTCATTTAGTTGAAAGCTTCTTATCCGGGGAATAGCTCGCTGCCAGGGTGTCTCTCACACACACACACACACACACACACACACACACACACACACACACACACACACAACTCCTCAGTTTAGCAGTCCAGCAGCGGTCTCACATAAATTTAAAACACACCCACACTTCTCCTTACCTGTGCCCATCAGGAGTTCACTTATGCGCTGGTCAGTCCCAGTCTGCTCCCACCTCCTGTCCTCCGGGTAATTTATAGTGTTCCTGGCTGGCCCGGTTCTGCACATTTAAAAAATCACCTCCAACAATAACAGTGAGGTGGAGGTGTAGGAGGAGGGGGAGTGTGTTTCACTTTAAAACAGCTGCATGTGATGGGAACTCGCACTGCTGCAGAGCTTCCACCAGCGATTCCCCGGGTGCCTTACAAGATGTTTTATTCATAAATATTTGATCTTCAATTTAATCCTGGCAATATTTATGTATTGAGCCATCAGTTTAATAGTTACAGAGGAGAGACGGAGCACTCAGTGTCATTGCTCTCAGGCCCGTGGCACCTTAAAAAACCCAGTAAAAGTGCTGCAGTCATGCCCTCGCTGCTGCTGCTGCTAAAAAAATCATGAACAAATAACATCAATATCATCCTAATGCAGCTGGCCTTTAGTTGAACCTGCACACATGCAGCTGTAAACAAGCTGCAAGAGATCGGGGGACATTATGAGGGGGAAAGTGCATCGCACAGCGGACGCTCTGATGCCAATTAAAAAAAAACCATGAAGTGCCATCATGCAGTCGGTTTGATTCCTCATGAACTGTTGGGGTCAACATTGGTTGCAGTAAAGGGGCGAGGCGTGACTGATTAGGACGTTCATAGGATCAGCTCCTTTTTTTTCAACACTGAGCTGAGAAGGCCGATCCGGGGGAGATGTAGCCGCATTAGGGAGATAAAGGCATAAAAAGGCAAAGGACAATTCTTTAGCCTAATGACAGATCTGTATCAGGCTCGATCCGCTGTCTCCCGGCAAGTGGCTTTTGTTTTATCACTCTGCTTGCTATTTTAATTACGGCTTTGTCACATCCCGCTGGCCAAACTTAGACAATAGCTTTGATGTTGGAGAGTACCGTGTAGCCTTTCATTATATCCGTCTTATTAGGGGGTATCACACGTTGTCGGGGCCAAATGGCCATATGAATTATTTACAGTTAAAAAATAGAAAAGAGCCAAACATTAATGAATTTAGATTTATATTATTATTTATTCTGGCTTATTTTGGTTTTAGCTTTTGTTAATTGATGTGGGGGTATTTGTGCCTAATTTCTCCCTCTTTGGGGGCGGAGCCGCGGCGTATCTGCAGTGTAATTTCAGTTGATTGAGGACACCTGGGGGGAGAGTGAGAGAGGGGAAGTGGAACAGTTTGTTGACTGCAAAGGGCCGCTTCGACATGATATAACGATCTGATTTATTTTATTTTGTGAAGTTTACTTTTTGCTGAAAAGTTTTCTATTAATAAATGTAGCTTATAAGTTGACTTTGGATCCGCGGCTGCCTTTTTGTTTTTATTTGATAGCGTGTTAAACCCGCTCAGCAATGGCTTACCTATTTGATTTTGTTTGAAGCCATCACACACGTGGGCTCGGACACACCCTGACTCTCTCTCGACCTCCCTCTCTGCGTTAACTATGCTGAAGGTGATGTTTCTGAAGATTAAATTGTTGCGAGCGGAGACAAGGCATGAGTAATTTGGCAGCGTTGAAAGCTCGGCTAAATGAAGGGAAAATGTAGAGCAGATTGATTGAGAGGCAGTCATCGTGTTCCCGGGGCTGTGATGATGATTCCTTGAATTATGGTTTTGAAATGGAAAAGGCCCACAGGCCAGGCCAGTTGTGAATTCAGACAAACTCCTTTAATTTGACAGAAAGTCCAAGACTTAGAGCAAAACCTCCAAAAGATGCTTGTACATGCCAGGTGCTGTCTCATGAAAACTGGACCCCCACAGACCACATCAGAAATCCACTTAAGATCCCATCAGACGCACCTCCAGGCGTGGTGAGAGACACCATAAAAAAGTACAGTACAGTACGAGTACACATACCAAACAGTAAACAAGCAAAGCTGCATTGAAGTATAAATTAAAAATGTCAGTGTCTGCAAACAGGTTTTATTGGTTTTCAGATTAGAGAGGTGTCCAGAAGCTAAATGCTAAATGCTAGATGGAGCAACGTCTCCCGCCGCTGTGAGGTAACAATGTGACCCCTCGTTATATTATAAATAAAGAATACAGGCAGCATGTGGAGCATGCAAAAAAACACACAACTGATTCCAGATCAGCGTCAACCTTGGTGCTGCTCGTTAAAGTTGCATGAAGAAATGTCACATATATGGTTATTGAAGCTGCAGAATAAACCAAACGTTGAATATTCTGCAGAATAAATCGACACAATCTGTCTCTGTTGGGACTCGGCGCTCAGGGTGGATTGCTTTGCCTCTCCTCCCAAGATGTCAAATAGAACTATTTTGTGTTAGTAGACTTTTATTTTTTTTAAACACCTCCCCTGAGCAGCAAGTGTAAAGTACTTAATGCTTAAGTGTACTTAATGCTGAAACTTTAATCCAGCAATAAAACACTGAAGGGGCCGGCTTAGGGAGAAGTCATTGTCGAAAGAAATCAATCTCACTTTCATCCCTGCGAAATGTTGTGTTGTGGAAACAGTGTGTGTGTGAGACAATGAAATGACGAGTGTTTTATTGTGTAAAGCATGAATCCTTTAATAATGAAGAAATCACTGCGTTGCACTCTTGTTGTATTTGAGTTATTTAAGTTTCTTTTAAAAGCTGCTGTGAGGAGTTTTTATCTGACAGAAGTGAAGCCTCAATATGACGTTCAAAAGCAAAACAAGACAACCAGCGAGAAGTGAAAATTTAAACAGAAGAACTAAGAACATCCTGCTGTAACCGTTTGGGTGCCTCTTGGTTGGCGTTGGAGACAAAGGTGCACAACCACACGTCTCTCGGGTTTCCTCAATCCTCGTCGTTTATTACAAGCGACACGTCTCCCTCACGAGTCCCGGTGGTACGGCTAATAGTTGATCATACCTGAGGAGCATGGCGTCCACAAAAACTCTAACATTGCTGTAGAGTCGAGAGGCAAAAGGAAAGTAGGAATTCGGTGACAGTCTGTCCATCACAAACGCCGTCTAGTGACCTCGCTGTGCTTGTAACTAAGCAACACAGTAAGTCTTAAAGGTACAGTACATGCAGCAACTTCAAATGTTACAACGGAGACAAGAAAACACGATGAAGCAGTTGCATGACATGCACGGAGATCGCACCGGTTGCAGGATATAAAAATGTCAATGATTCATATTTTCTGAATAGTTCCCGGTGCATTCACACACGCGGCTCGCCCAGAACATTTGTGAAATTATCAGGAGTTTCATGTGAGTGGATCCTCTCAGGTAAACTTCCTTTCTGGATGAAGCTGCTGGCTTACTCTGGTTCTGTCTTGTCTGAATTTCTAGAAATTGCAGAACATTGAAAAATATTGAATATAGATATTTTTACATGTTTTTATTTCCTCGTTATAACTCGCCCAGATATACTATAAGTGGTTATTCACAGAGGCCGAGTGTGCACAGGCACCGTGCAGCATCAGCTCAGGAACACGG